CTCACACTCACACCCACACCCACACACTCACACCCACACCCACACACTCACACCCACACACTCACACCCACACCCACCCACACCCACACCCTATATTGTTAATGACTTGAACTAGTACTCATTTGTAACAAGTAAAATAGAAGAGTACCGGAAACTCGAGTTAGATTTAACTAAAAGCCACCGAAAGTTTTCTTTTTTTTGTGAACATTACTGTTTCATCGTTATTCTGTTTTTCAGTAAGGCACATCGAAAATTCTTCTTTCAACAGTCGAAATTAGATTGTTTATTTATGGCCACGTCTTTTTTAGACAACGTTGAGAATTTTTTCTGAACTGTAACACCTCTATACAGTTCAATATATCAATTAGAAATAACGAAGCACTAGCTCGAATTCATTTCAATACCATAGAAACATTCGTCGTCTCCTCTTCAAGATGAGAATCTTAGAAAAGATTGCTAACCCTAATATAGACTCAAAGTGTTTCACCGTTGATGCGACTAAGGATCATTGACTGCAAGAATTTACGGACTCGGACCTGATCGATTAAAATTTGTTGCACTTGCATCCGGTCGGTAAGACAGACCCGATAGGATTTATATGGGACATAGACATTGGAATTATTATTCTATTTTTTTTTCTTAAGGTTTGGATTTAATGCAGATCCATTTCATGATCATTTATTTCATGTTTATCGTTTCAACGTTAATTGAATTTCGTCTTCGTCAACCTTATTTAAATTGATCATCATCAACATTCAACAAATCCATGACAATCATCACCTACAATTGTTATTATCGACGTATTTATTCACGTTATCGTACAACTGGTTTACCAAAAATACCATGTGATCCTGATAGATTATATTCATAAACAAATATTCTCAATGCATTATAAAAACTTTTACCAAATTCTTGTTTCATCATCAAATCTTTATTTAAAATGAAAGTAAGATCTATTTGAAATAACATCATTAAATTCTCGAATGCATTCATCAACTGATCGTACACCTCTTGAATGTCTTCATATAAACATATTTATTAACGTTACCTACACATGAACGCAACAAATGCACCACCACCTAATATTACACTTACCACTAGTTCAGATCATCTTTATTATCGAACAAGATCAAATTCAATGCCACCACCACTACCACCACTTCCACCATCTATATAATGATTTAATTCAACAAATAGATATCGATTTTCATTTCCAACATCAAATATAAATAGATATCATTATAGACTTTATTGATGTAACCAACATCAATTAATTCAAGAGGACCAACAAATTCTAGAACATCAACAATTGTTTCATCGTTTCCAATATCAACAACAACAATTGAAAATCAAATAAATAATAATTTAATTTTCATATCACCATGGTTAGACAGATTTACCATCAATACTTAAACATAAACAAAGTTTACAAAAACGATAAATTTAAATTAATTCAAAAAAATAAAGCAGCTAGAACACAACACATCAATATTAACAAAAAAATTCAAATTTATTTACTGATCTTATATATAGATCAATATCAACATTAACAATAGAACAATCAACAACACATCATCATCAACAGATCCGTTTATTAACAAATAATTTAAATCATATTGATTATGAAAATCTTTAATGACAACAACAAATAATAACAATTTATTGTATATTAACATAAATATCAAATAATATTCATCATGGACAATATTTACCATAAATATCAATTTATAATTGATCGTTTATCAGGTGTTGGTAGAAGGTTATTTTATTTTAGATTTTGGACAACAAGTTACATTAACTCATATATAAATCCGATCATCTAATCAATTAGTATCATTAACTTTAGATTTTTGATCATATAGTGAACATATTGATTGTCAATGTTTATTTTTTTCAAGACATTTATCAAATCAACCATTTGTTTTTTACATTATTTACAACCACCTATTATAGGAGTGGGTGGGTGTGGGTGTGGGTGGGTGTGGGTGTGGGTGTGGGTGGG